AACTGGTCTAATCTAGGCTATATCCCGAGTGTATTCCGAGAATAACCCTGGGTATACTCTGAGATTTTAGACCAGGCGCAGCCTTTTTAAAGACAGATTCTTCAAAACTAAAAATGATATATGCAAATAATTATCAAATTAACCCACATTCAAGGGTTAATCAATTAAGTATGGAACTTACAAGTGTAAACTAGAAAGTAGAGGATGGGATCAAAAGAACCTGTCTAGCCGGGTCATGCTGGCAATATATAGGCGAATTCCGATCTTGATCTTCTTGATAGGTGAAAAATCGACTCTTAACGAAGATACTTACCATTTGATGCTAATATGTGTTGACCAGAATTAAAGTGCTTCATTTTCAGGAAATATATACTATGGCCTCCGTTCGTTATCTACAAAGAGACAATCCGATCGCTACATTAAGATCTATCGAAATACTGTCAACAAGTAATGTTCCCAAGAAATGTACCGAAGTTGAAGGATTGCTTACGGGTTATGGGTAGTGATACTTACCTCACTTTGGGCAATGCTACACCACTGACCAGGATTTGTTACCCGACTAATTTCTAATCCGAAATAGGATTTGACAGATAAGAGGAAGAATTCCTCGCCAAATAGGACTAGATAGGTTCGTTTGTCCTCCTGTTCATACTCCTTCCAGTCTTTTAAACAGAAGTAGAAGTTTTTCCTTTGTTTCCTGTTTAGGACTGGGTTCCGGGTTCCTTCTAAAGACTGCTTCAGCTCTATACTCTTAACACTTTTTCCTTCCTACGCTAATATAACTACACATAGTAACCATCTAACTTGGTGGCTCTTGAGCCTTGAATCGGGTGATCATTATAAAAAAAAATAAAGCTGCTGAATCTAATATGTCCATACCCTTTTCAGTTAGTTGTCTCAGATCCATCTTAAATTTGTTCTAAGTGTTTCGCTTAATTGTACGAATATGAAGTCAAAATAATATGAAAATTTCAACTTAAAATAGTGTAGCAATTCACTTTTCAGTAGACTGTATTGACTTCGAATATATAACACATCTACCATCGAGATATGCTATCAATCATTGAAATAAATGATCGGTTACTCATATTGGCGTCAATATGCCAGTGCAGTCACCACTAGAATTTGCTAACTTCCGAAATCGTGACTAGACTTTTACCTAACTAATCACGTGGTATGCTCATTAAACGAATCTGCCAATGCCGGAAATGTTCAAGTTCCAACTCTTCAATTGCTCTTAACTTCTGTTATTCTGTTGAACCAGCAATCATTTGTCCGATGCTTACATCCATTTCCCACTAGATCAAACAGTTTTCATTTTACATGCAACACAAGTTTCTTACCATTGTTCGCTTAATTCGTTTTTATTGTCGACCAAGAAGCACAACAAAAAAGATGATGCTTGGTTATTGGTCAGGTTTTGGGTAGTGGATCGAGCCGATAACATTTCAACACTTCTTAATATAATAGTGGTTTCTGAAACTTCGCCCCGTAGATGAAAATGCTGAAACTGAAAAACTTACGGACCTTAAGTAAAGTTATGAAAGATGGTCATAGAGCAAGAAATTCGCTTTCAGAACATCTTGGGATTTTTTCAATTACTACTTTTCATCATTTATCTGCAATAGAAAAGATGTAAAACAGATTGGATGAATAGATTACACGTGAACTAACAAAAAATCAGAAGCGGCGTCGTTTTGTGGTACGTTCATTACTGCTTATTCACAGCAATAAGCCTTTTCTGAATCATGTCATTACCTGTGAAAAACTCATTACTTACAATAATCATAGACATTTTAATTAAAAGGGCATTATTTCCATTTTGTGAGGTCAGCGAACAGTCGTTTGACACTTTCCTGATGCCAACGTTTTTGAGTTAATAAGTTTAAAGTTTACGGTAGGCGCTATTAAATATTCTTTCATGTTTTATTCTAAATTATTTCAACCAGTACTGTCGCCAAATCATTTCAACATCTTTTTTTCATTGTTCATTTAATACAAGGCCTAAGTGACACTCAAGGAAGAGGGTTACATAAATGAGAATGCTATGTATATATATTTAAATGCTAAAGTATTTGACATTACTCGTTCAAGATTAAATTTAACAATAACTTTTAAGCGTCTTATTCGCCAAGCTTGTGGCACAGCCATATTTAAATATGATATAATAGACAACATAACTGAACAATTTAACTTGTAAATCTTCTTACCATCAATAACGCACAGTAAATTCACCAATTTGTTTGTTATTTGTTCTGTTATATTGATTAATCGTTAATGATTCTGTTACTTTCTTATTGAAGTAAAAAGTGATGTTCTGGTTTTGCATAATAACTTCAGACTGCTGTTTTTTTTATATAATAAATCCAATAACTTTAATAAAACCTGTTGGAATTATCTTAAAAATTAACTCAAGCTTCGTTTTAACATCTAAATCGTTTAAAATTTGACAAAAATCGTTCAAAGCTAATTCGAGTTATTGAGGTTAATATGATTTGCATAATAACTTCAGACAGACTGTAGATAGTATATTTAAATAAAACTGGTACATGGTCATAATTACAGAGAATCTAATGAGATGAGGTTACTACTCGTTTTCTTATAGGTAAATTGAAATATTAGCGAAGCGTTATTATATAATTTGTTATTTTACTTAGATAAATTAATATTTCAAAACTTTATCTAACAGAAACTGAAAAACGTGAAAGTTGGTAAATAATTAATAAACTGAAGTGTCGTCTCTATTTTGAGACAACACTACACTCAGTGTTTTCGCTCTTTATCATAACTACAAATGAAGCCAGCCGGATGACGTATGCGTGACGTAATAGATAAAGAGGTAGCGTAGCAACCATAGCAGCCATAGGACATCGACATCATTTAACATCGCTTGACTATGGAATAATTGTTAGAGCCAGAAAGATCGAGCAGTACACCCAAAGTAGCAAGCAGACTAGATTTTTCTCAGGTAATAGAAACATGAGAATACCAGAAGTATGTTAAGGGATAGCCGATGACTGACAAAGATGGTAACCACCCAATTGAAAGTGGAGAGTCATTGCCTCATATTACATACCATTTCAACCCATCAGTCAATATCCACTGCATTTTATGGTGTTATGGTGTTTTGTTGTCGATTAACAAGGATACTGCTATTGTCAGCATGGCATCAATTACTGTTCCCTAACTGGGTGAAAGAACATCACCAGTGATCTGTGTTTGACTGGCACCGTGTCAGCTGATCAGACGAGTGTTGTTTGCAGCACTTTAGGGTAAACGGTCAATTTCGTGTAAGGAAAGGAACGCGTGTGGTTATGGATCTAGCCTGTGAGCAGGATGTTGTGCAAGCTGGTAGTGGCTCCATAATGGTGTGGGACATGCTTTATTGAAGTTCACAAGGGCCAGTAGTGAAAGTGGTGTCTGTTTTAATGGGTATCACATGTCATATTTTTATTTACTCTAACAAAATATGATTTTTTTTTTACCATTTTCAACAGTTTAGACTCTATTTTCTCCTATGGTGATGGTTTGTTTAAACGAAATAACGCGAGCAACTCGCCATCGTGAGCGCATGACACTAAACTGTTTCTAGGAACAAACGGCTCATTTCCAGAAATTACATTGGTCCCCGCATCAGGCAAAATTAAACACCACTGAATGTATGAGGCATGCTGAAGACCTGACTAAATTCTTTGCAACCACACTCATCAAACAACTCAGTTATGGAAAGACGTAACTAAATAGATTGTTGTGGATTCCGGGTTGAAATCCGGGACCAATAAATAACAAACGCCAGGAATGAATATATGAAAATGCTGTATTAACGTAATAATACAAACTGGTAAAGCAGGTTAGTAGTTCCAGGAATACGTGTTAGTAGCAAAATACATATACAGTCTTTTGGTATTGAAGTATCGCTGTATGACTTCTTACTGAGTCTACGTGCTCGCTCACTGTGACTCCTACGAACGCTGTTACTTCACCCTCACTCTTCCGGTTACCTACAACCTTTTACTCTGTCACTCTCGACTCGACTCTTCGGTCTTGCTCGCTATTTATCAACCCACCCACAAGGCACAAGGAATATAGCACAAGGCCGGTTTAGTGTGGGCCAAAAATATAGGCTGGGCCAAAAATATAGCTTTTTAGAACCGCATTGACGGATTCAGGCCCTGTCTACCTCCCCGAACGAAACCTTGCCCTTCGGCAAAGCTTCGTCCGGGTTCCTCTTTGCTAATGCAGAGAGTTTGACAGTCGTCGCTTACAGTCAAGGACTGTATCACGACAGCTAGACTCGGAGGTCTTGCTCTCTATTTATCATCCCACCCACGAGGATTGAATATGGCACAAGGCCGGTTTAGTCAGGGTATCCTTGAGCCCGTAGGGCTCGGCTAAAAAATATAGTCCTTTTAGACTCGGTACTATTTATCAACCCACCGCATTGACGGATTCAGGCCCCAGCCCTCTCCCGAACGAAACCTTGCCCTTCGGCAAAGCTTCGTCCGGGTTCCTCTCTGCTAATGCAGAGAGTTTGACAGTCGTCGCTTACAGTCAAAGGACTGTATGCCAGATCACGACAAGCTAGACTGAATATGGAGGTTTATGTGGGTATTTCTCTCTCGGGTTTTTAGAACGCATTGACGGATTAGCTATAGTATATGTATATACTGGGTGAGTCCATTTGTGTAAAAAGGGGAGAACCCCTCAACATAGATAAACCCACTCGAGCAGATAGTTTGATAGATTTGTTTTTTACAGCTTATCAACCTTTTTCAGTTTATTTAAAGCCAGAAAATATTTTCAGATTGTAAGAATTTATTATGATTTACTGATGCAAGTTCTACTATTTAAACCACAACTGAGAGGATAAGAGGGGGGTTTATACATTACCCAATGGTATTTGCGCGTAAGTGAATATAACGAACACGATTTGAATTGAGCCTTGGCTCTCTTATTTTCAATTCCGAACCGTTATCTATTACACCAACTGCACATCCAAGCTTACAGAACCTGATATCCCCAAGCGGTTACCTATCTAGGTAATGACCAGGCTCGACATGGCTTAACTTCGGTGATCGTTCGAGAACCGGTGATTCAATGTGATATGTCCATAAGACAGAAAATCGTAGACGACATGCCACATCACATACCCCTGTTATTTAAGTGTGGGGCGGAGATATGCGCTAGCTATCTGTCTCTATTTTTTGTCTCTTCAGTTAATTAACAGCTTTTAATTTCTTCCAATTTATTGTCATGTTAAATCTACAATTGTATTTGACGATTTCAATAGATTTTATAGAATTCGTTCAGCAAAAATATTCTAGAGCCCGAATTAACGTTCAACTTTGATTAATAATAAGTCTCAATGTCTAAAATTAATGTTTCTTGCCTTCACTAAAACACACAGTAACTATACATTGCTTCAATTTCATAGAATTATGTGATCACATTTGAGACTGAAGGTAAAGCATTTTTGTCAGGCTGCAAATTAAGCTAAGCAAATTCTGGAGAATCACCTAGAATTCCTTTGACGTCAGCGGCATATGCATATGCGTTTCATGCGTTGTACTTATAGTAGCATTAATGAATGGTGTGTTTATATGTCGGTGCGCATATATTCTGGGTACAACTATATCTGCCTCTGTAACATGCATGAAATGTATTTTCGGAACATACATCAGATATACCACGAACAATAGACATGACGATTAGGCTACAGATTTTAAAGATATAAACCTATCTAATATATTAATTCAGACCTATTTTCATGCATTTAATTATATATAATGTTTTACATATATATGTGTGTGTGTTTGCATTTTTATATATATATAAACATAATGCTATATATTCATAATGTTTTATATACATATATAGATATGTTATATATATATATATGTTATTATATATATATATATATATATATATATATATATATATATATATATATATATATATATATATATACCCAAGAACCACCCTTTTGTGTGTCAGTTTTAACATATTTCGAATTCTATGTTGCGCTAATAGGACTCGTCTGGATTATACCAACCGACTACTATATATATATATATATATACAGTAGCGAGCATAAAGATCAGAACGATGTTAAGAACAAGTCTAAATGTGAAATAACTTTTTATTTTAAAGCTTCATAGAACATTTTATCAAAGAAAAATAAGGATATAAAGGTAAATTATATAATTCCAAAATATAAAGCTCAATAAACTTATTTTGATAAAGTTATAAGAATAATTATATAACATTCGAAAAAAAGAGCTTTCTTAATTTAGTAAATATTTTTCAGGAAATATCAGCTCCTAATTGGTCAATAAACACACGTGGGCGTTGCAATCCACCCACGTACAATGTATTTTCCCGCCAAAGCGCTGTGATCCTGTCATGTGATTACGTTATCTATAAAACAAATACAAGTTTGCCTCATCCTCTCTTTCTTCTCTATTCATGCTGCAAAATGTAGTCCCAGATAATTATCGTCTTGACCTTGCGGTTAGATGTTAAAGAACATTACCAACATACACATACGTACGAACATTCACCACGAACATTCACCAAAATACGAACGTTTACACACACAAACACAATGTTAACTGTCTATGTGCTTTGTAAATGTTTTGTGTAATACATATATTTGTTTATATATATATATATATATATATATATATATATATATATATATCGGTCTTGTTTGATTGTCTTTTTTATCTTGAGTTGGACTTAATTTTCTTTACATCTTCCCCCCCCCCATCCGGTCCTCTACATAATGGTGACCGCCGACGTGATTTTGCAAAAGAAACATAACGGTGCACTACAAAAGTATTAAATAAAAAAGGTATATTCATTTATTTAATGTGTTCATTATTACCTATATAATTGATGAAGCTTTTTCTCATCATTATTATTATTTGAACAAATATCTCTCGTCTCGGAACAGAAATAAAAATTTAAAAAGGTGTAACAAAATGTAACGCTGGAAAGAACATTATTGAAAAACAACTGTGAAAGAAAAGAGCAAGGGGGTTTTTACTGTTAAATAACAAAAGAATAATTATTATTGTTATTTTTGTACTTGCCTGGTTATCGATGAGGGATGAAGGATTCCATTGAACTCCTAATTTATGTAATACAAAATTTGTATATTAACATATATTAATGTGTCTGTGTAAATGATTTCTCTGTAGTCCTACGGAAAAATATTTACGTCTGCACGTTTCACTAAGATACATTGATTCTAACACCACAAATTATCAAACTAACTACAGACCTATATATGTTTCTCTTAACATAGGAAAATGTTATACTATTGAATGTTGATAAAAATGTTGGAAGACATTTGCCACAACACTATATACACCAGGGATTTTCTTGACTTTCTGTTGAGTTCCCTTCTTTTTCAGACCTAAATCTCCAATCCAAACTAGAACTCTTTTAGTTATTTTTAAGTGCCACATATTATTATTGTTCAAATAATCCCTAGTATAGGAAGAGAAAAAGAAAATGGAAAAATAATAACAAAGACGTAAAGATCAAATTAATCTGATTGAGAAACAATAATAAAAGAAAAAGTCAAAGGGTTTATTAATATTTTTTGTACATGCCTTTGGGTCAATGAGGGATCAAAGATTCCATGAATAGGCTCGAAGGTCTAAAAGTTTGGGAACCCCTAATTTACGTAATACAAAATTTGTATATTAATATATATTAATAAATGTAAGTGTGAAATGATTTTCGGGAGTATTTACATATACCAGTTTTTCTAAAATACATTGATTCTAACACCACAAATTATCTAACTAACTACAGAGTCAGATATGTTTCTATTAACATAGGAAAATGTTATACTATGTCAATATGATATTATGAGGATTATATTATATCAATAAAATGTTTGAACACTTTTGCCACAACTCGTTGTTAGCTTGTAGGGCCACACGCATTATACCAGCAGAAATAGCCTCGTGTTCACAGCAATAAAATCATACACAGAAATAACACTAAAAGCATGTTAAATTGTAAATTAAATTTATACAATTTATTTATTTTTGTGTACTGTGTGTGTGTGTGTGTGTGTGTGTGTGTGTGTGTGTGTGTGTGTGTGTGTGTGTGTGTGTGTGTGTGTTTTTGGTTACACGTGTTTTATTGTTGCATGTGATAAAAGGAAAAAGTCACTTCGTCTTATGACAAGTAATGTCTAGGGGAGAGAGGAGTTTGAGGGTCTGTAACTTCAAACGAAGTGGCGAAAAGAGTTCGGCGTCTTTTGGCGGGAAGTCCCTTTTCGGACAGAAAATGTTTCTGTTGCATTCTGGGAGGGTTTTTTGATGGGACGGGGGTTATTTAAAATATCTTAAACAACGTTTTAATTTTATTTGTTCTATTTTATTTTATTTAAAATAATTTATTATTATTATTATTATTATTATTATTAATAAATGTCTCTACAAAAGTACATACATTTTCGTTCTGCTTTCTCAAGAAGAAAGTAAAGTTAAGGTGGGATATATCGAGCAAAAGAACATCAAGACAGAAAATAATATCTCCCCAGGAAATACGTTTCGTGGCGCTATTAAAAATAAGAATATTGATGCTTTTCAAGTTTCTAAGTTCGTAAATAGGCAAGTCATATTTAAAATATATAAATATATGATTGTCTGTATTAAATCCAATAAATTTCTGTTTTATTTCCAAATTGCAGAGATTTACCATCAATATATGTATCCAATCGGTAATTCTTAACACTTTGTGAATACTTGTATTCAGCTTGTAACTGAAGTTAACTGTAAGATTTCAAGAATGTATATTTTGATACCAACTTATACCGATATTTCATGACAAAAGGAAACGATGACCATTATATATATATAGAGAGAGAGAGATAGATAGATAGATAGATAGATAGATAGATAGATAGATATTTCATGACAAAAAGTAAACGATGACCATTATATATATATATATATATATATATATATATATATATAGAGAGAGAGAGAGAGAGAGAGAGAGAGAGAGAGAGAGAAAGAAAGAAAGAAAGAAAGAAAGAAAGAAAGAAAGAAACATGGTTTCGAGCCTGCTTGGTATCCGGCATGAGGTATGTATTTTCATCATTTATAATAGTGGTTGTTCATGCCCTGATAAAAAACACTTTTTCTAATGTTGGTTTTAAGCTATAAAGTTCTCTTCATATTATCTCTTTGAAACATCAGTTCCCTTATGATCACCGAAATTAAGCAACATCGAACTTGGTCAGTACCTAAATGGGTAACCGCTTGAGAATAATAGATGCTATAAAGTTGGGTGTGCGAGTGGTGTAATGGATAATGGCCCGGAAACGTTGATTTGAGAGCCTACTTCCAATTCTAGTCAAGTTCGTTATATTCACTTATAAGCAAATACTCTTGGGAAATTGTGAATCCGTTGTATTCACTTACGTACCAATAACCTTGGGAAAGATATGAATCCACTTCTTCTCCCACTAGCTATGGGTTAATTAGTAAGGTTTGTATCACTAAAACATTATTATCTCCAAAAAGATAATTCTTACAAAATTAAAATATTTTATGGTTTTAAATAACCCATAAAGGGTTGATAAACCGTAGAAAATAAATCAATCATTTTGGCGCGATATTATACTTGTAATTCTTTTTTGTCCTGCGTCCGATTAAGTTAATTTAATTGATGTATACTAATGCTGGAAGATCTCCTCACAAATTAAGAGAATCTTGAGGCAACAGAAATGTGGTTCTGCAGAAGGATACTGAGAATACTATGGAGGGAGCCCGCAAGCAACGAAGTAAATGGAAACAAAATGACACTTCTTTTTAGAATCAGAAAGAGACAGACGAAATTTCTTAGGCACATATTTAGGAAAGTGGGCTTAAAGAATTTGACACTCGCAGGACATATCGAAGGCAAAAGTTCCAGGAGAACGAAGCGATGAGCTTGTTTGAATGGATGGCAGAACAGGAGGCGAAAGTAAAATAGACAAAGGTTGCTTAGAACTACAAAAATAGAAGGTTGTGGAGAGCCATGATAGCCACGTTCTGAAGAGACACGGCACACAGAAGATTTTCTATAGCTTTGAAAAGTGCCATTAACATGCCCAATAATGTTCGGACAAATGAAATCCTTTTGTGAATATTTACTGTTGCTGACATTGTGTTTTGTCTGATCAGCTTTCATCGAGTGACTTCATCAGGAAAATCATTTAAGAAAAAAAAAATAATGAAAGTAGTTATACATATACCAAACGGCCAAATCCATTTCAGCAGCAGATATACCTTGTACTCAGGTGGTTTTATTTATACCCAGAAGAGTTCCCCAACACCCACATTACTAAGCAAAGAAAACGATATTGTGTTTACATTTGTACTAACCTACGTATGCACTTGGTAGACAAATTTCTTCATGCAAATTACCCTCAATGATGACCATTTTTTTCGTCATATTTTTTGGCTGGGGAAGGATTTTTTTCTTTGAAGAAAGAACATTCTTTTTCTTTCACGAAATAAAATCGACGTGGTCTAAAGAATGAATCGGCCGAAATGCTGTGTTAATAACAGCGAGTATACGAAGATGCGTTTTATTTGTTTCAGCAATCTGATTATTTAAAAATAAAATCACTTCCCACTTTCGGTTACTTACAATATCGCCACTTGCATATTATTTAAAATGTTTTACATTTCATGTGCTATTTGACCAAGTCTCATAAGTTACAAATTATTCCCAAATCGGCCATCCAGAATTATTGACAAATTCCCTCACCGTCCCTTTTATTGCTTTCTTTTTTTTCCAAACAGTGTCGGCAAATGCGTAACTTGATCCAAAGAATTAACAATCTGTTGCGTTTGTAATAGTTTAAAGACAGGCACTTTTATAAATTTTATCTTTTAGGATATTTTTTCTTTTACACTTTTCTTTCGTCAAACTTGGATTCGTTTCATATTTGTTCTTTATTTCCTTTTGTTAGATCCATTTCTTTCACCTTCTTTCATTAGTTTTCAGTTTCCAAATCTTTCCCTATTTGGCTTTCGCCATTTTTGACATCTTATTTTATAATTGTTTTTTATTTCTTTCTTAATCTTGTGTTCTTTTTTCTTTCGACATTTCTCTGATTTTCTTCATTTTAATTTTTCTTTCTTTCGATATTTAATTTTTGTATTTTTCTTCCTCTTGAGTGTTCTAATTTTTACACAGTATTCCTTTCTTTCACTCGCTCTTTATTTTGATTTCTTATTTCTTTTGCACTCTCCTTTTTTTGATCTCTTTCTTTCTTTCTTTTTCTTTCTTTCTTTCTTTCTTTCTTTCTTTCTTTCTTTCTGTCTTTCTTTCTCTTTCTCCCAAACCTGTTAAACTAAGTCAGTTTTTCATTCTCTTTCGCATTTTCCTCCCACGCCTTCTTTTGATCTTTTCATTCTTTCTGGTATCAGCCTTTCATTTTCTAGTTCTTCTTTTTCAATCTCTTTCATTCATTTTTATCGCTCTTAATGTTGCTTCAGTTCTTTCTTTTGATGGTCATATTCTTCCAGGGATTGGGATGCTACTGAAAACAAGCCAAATTAATTCTAAAATAAGTAGGGAAAAATAGCATAAATCAAGACTAGAAGAAAATGTATACGAAGAAAACTGATTCAGTCATTGTGTACCAGAGAGAAAGAGAGATAAATAGAAAGAATATGCGAAAGAAAGGGACCTTGTTGACTGTTGTCAAGTTGAATGGTCTGCTATCAATCGACAGGACCGCCATACCTTCCTCTGCTCAAAATCATACATCAACGGCCAACGGCCAACTCTCCGAACAACCACCGAGAGTAACAGAGGGCTTATTCTCACACGGGGCCCCAGTTGCAGGGAGAGAGCTGAACACACAATACAGAGCAAACAACGCTGTTTGAAGCCTCTCCGTTGGAGTGAGATGAACCAGAGGCAAATATTGATTTACTGCTACTATCAGATGTTCCATCAGCCTCTATCGTGGCCACCGCCTCTGAATCTCCATGAGGTTAGGTTAAGTTAGGTTAGCGAACGGGACAGACGGAGCCTTGGTGATACGATGGATGTGCCGTCGTCGTCGTCGTCGTCGGTTCTCGAGGACACGAAGAGCGACGTATATTCCAATCGTCTCCATGGAGCGGTCTGCAGCCGAGGCCAACGGACAAGGAGTGAAGCGGTGACCGTAGTCACGTGACCAAGTTGCTAATCGATACACCGGAGAAAGACAGGAAATGATTTGAGGAAAATTTTAGATTTCTTCCATCGACAAGTAATATCAACTGCAGATCTAAACGCGTACGTATTTGTGTGTGTACGCTAATTTTAATAATAAAAAAAAACAGTGCCAAGAGTCAGTATTCTGGCTCAATATATTTTTTTAACCATATCGTCTCAGTGCAAGACAGTAGAGTCGCTAAGACACAAGAGGTTACCAAGAGTGAAAGAATAAGAAAAAAGAGAAACATTATTAAGGAGCGAGAACAATAGAAGTGCAATCAAAAAGAAAGTAGATGACGACACCGCATTTAAATTTTGAAGATTAAATTTGGCTGGAAAGCATAGAGCCGGAAGAGAGTTCCACAAGCCAGAACTGCGAGAAAAGAAACTGTTAGAATAGAACTTATGGCTACATCTGCCAATTAAACTATGAATTGATGAGACCTTGCCGCCAGTCTCGTACAGCACTTAAATTCATAAAGTCAAGGTACCATAACAAAGAGTTCATCTGAACAATTACCATTTATTTATAGAAAAAGTACGGGGAAGCTAAATAAATAAAAAATGTTCATTTTTAAGGTGAGCAAACTCTCCCCACTTAAAGGAGTGGCGGAACACAATCTTCCCAATTGTCAGAGTCAAACAAAATTAAACCTTGTAAATAACTAAAGCGCATGAAAGTAGGAATTTTCCATCGTCGCCATTGGTTATGATTCAATGACAAGGTAAATACCAGGATTTTAAACGCCAGTTTCCAAGACAGACGGGTTTACGGCCACATCACGTTGAAACACCGGTTCCCGTACGATCACCGAAGTTAAGCAACGTCAAACCTGGTCAGTATCTAGATGGGTGACCATTTGGGAATATTAGATGCAGTAAGCTTGGTTGCGCAGTTGGTATAATGGATAATGAATTGTTAATCGGAGAGCTGAGTTCCAATTTCTGTTGAATTCATTATATTCACTTACGCGCAAATACCCTTGGTAAACGCATAAATCCATCTCTTCTCCTCCCAGGTATGGATTAATTAGTAAGAACTATATCACTAAACCATTATTATCTATAGAAAATATTCTTACAATGTAAAACATTTTTCTGGCCGAAATGGGCTGATAAGCCATAGAAAACAGGTAAATCAATCAACACATGCAACTTTCATCTGGTTCACACCTGAGTTTCATTTCAATAAATAGCTAAAAACTAAGCCAGTATTTTGTTAGTCTGTTTTTTATTATTCATCACAATCTCGAGGAACAGAAAATAACGTTTAATATATGTATATATATATTCATATGTGTGTGTGTGTGTGTGTGTGTGTGTGTTTGTGTGTGTTTGTGTTTTATGCCAATTATACGATTTTAAATTACGAATTCTTAGACTGGTTGTCACCAAAAGGTTAGAGTTCAGTCTACGCAGCTATTTAACCCATTCCGGATATAAAAATATACATTAGATACAGTGATTCCATTTTCAGCCAATCTACGCAGCACATCCTAATATATATAAATTATATACTGAATCTTTTATTAAAATTTGTACACATGTAAGTTTTTCAACCCAAAACTGCTAAAATCCGTTTATATATATATATATATATATATATAATATGGTTATATATATATATATATATATATATATATATATATATATATATATATATATACTCCCCCAAAAATGTATACACACTTCATGAAAGAAAAACTTGTATAGATATTGTAATACTAAATTTATTCAGCGATTAATACAAGTTAACTTTGGACTCTACAAGCACAAGAGATACCTAAAATGGTGGCCTTTAGCTGCTAGATATTTATTAGTACAGCAAACTCCTGCTTGGGCAACGTTGGTCAAAGTATCTAGTGAGATTGCGGCAAATGCATTTTCACTTTCTTGAATTGACGCCAGTGTTTTCGCAATTTGATAAAACTCCGAAAAACAAGTTTTTCCTTTTCTGAAGTGTGTATATACATTTTTGCTCTCTCTCTCTCTCTCTCTCTATATATATATATATATATATATATATATATATATATATGTGTGTGTGTGTGTGTGTGTGTGTGTGTGTGTGTGTATATATATATTATTATTATTATTACTGTAAATATTATTTTTAGTGGATATACGTTTGCGTAGAAGTCCTGTTTTTGTATTTGTTTTTTAAACGTCTACCGGTCTATGCATGCGAAAGATTTAATAAAAATGTCTCTCAGATGTGTATCGACTAAAATAACATTTATAATAAGAAATAATGCCAGATTCAAAATAGAATCCTTTTATATACGAACACACACACACACACACACACACATACATATATATATATATATATATATATATATATATATATATATATATATATATTAAAGAATTGATGGACCTTATTTTTTTTATCCGGCATTATTTCTTATTACTCCAAAGGTTATATTTTAGTGGATAAAACTATTTTTGTAACAGTGGGTATTACATCTACTGGCTGGTATATTTAAAAATCTTAATAAAGTATATGTGTCCTCCGGCGGTCTTGAATCTACGTCCTCCTTCATGGAATAAACCACCATCTACTCCGGTGTACTTTAGACCGCTCGCCAGAAAGAGTTTCACAGCCAAATATGATTTATTCCGATCAAGGATAATAGAAACTTCTTTGGTTGTGAAGCTCTCTGTGATCAAGTGGGCTAATGCGCGCCGGATCAGACAGTTGTCTCCTTATGTAAAACCACGCAGATTCGAACCCTGCCGGAGTGCACATTTGTGTTTATTAAGATTCTCGATTGCATCGACTAGTACATGTAATTAAAAAAGGGTCGCGTCTACTTAAATACGTCTATCCAATGAAATCTAAAATTTGGAGTAATAATATAGATATATATATATACATTTCGCTGTTCTCAATGGAGTGGTCTGCTGTCGAGGTAAAAGAATAAAGTCAACTAATGGCGCAGGCAGGATTATAATTTATATTAATACCAAGATAATATCAATAGTTTATGGCAATATCACGTTGAAACAACAGTTCTATTCCGGTCACCGTAGATAAGCAACTTTGAGCCTGCTCACTACTCAGATGGGTGACCACGGGTGAATATCCGGTGCTATAGGCCACGAGAGAAGCTTAGAAAGCCGGCGATATATATAATCTCGCTATTTATGCTAACAGTAGATCTTAAATATAAATAAATAAATCATTTTGATAAGCCGTAGAAAACGAATCAATCAATCTAATGGAGCAATTTTCATTGTACCGTCTTCAAAAGTGAATATCGTTTTCATATCTCTACTTTCAATTCCATGCACAGTCTATGAATTTCTTATATATCTTGAATATACGAAAAGCCTTGTGGGTAGGTCATCAGGTGAATTTCAGTCTGATACTTGTAAGTTTATGTTAGAATCGATATAAATCGTGTAAAACTTGATTATACTATGCAATTGTTCTTTACTGTAAACCAATACATGCTTATACCACCGTCTTCAAAGACAGTTCAAGCTAAAGCAAGAAAATGTTTATAATATTGTCCAAAAATAAACTTTTCTAAGTTTCCTAAACCATAAAATTCTTAAAAAGATTCATGCTTCATGCTTCTAATTTAAATCTGGTGTGATGTCGAATAATTTACAATTGGAGTAAGCTCTTAATAGAAAAATATCACTTCCAAACTTACGAAACGGATTAAATAAGGACAAGTAGGAAATCTTTATAAATTTGACATGTTTAGCTATTTATTTAGCGTCATGGAATGAATGGCTATTTTTCAGCGTGCTCAAGTCGCTACCAAATCTGGCACAAGGTCGAGATTTAGAGTGGTTTTAACACCAAAACCGTGGAAAAATGCTCAAGGCCCCTCGGAATTTCTTCTTATGAGAACGCTTCAGGTGCCAGACAATAAACCCAGCTCTCTCCTGAAGCCCCCCCCCCCTCCCCTGGAGCTTGGGCTTAATATTTTTGACACTTCCCCGGAATGTTGGAAGTGAAATTATTTTTAGTTATATTAAGGATCATATGTTGTTTTATTTCCATTGCTGGTGTAGGCATCACGTCTATATGTCATGGTATCTATGCGTATGATTCTTTTTTTTTTTTTTAAATTTTAGTTTAATTTAAATGCATATTCAAAATTTTGGATAATATGACGAATTCTGGAAGTGAAATGTATAATACTAGATTATAAAACTGTCAATGCATGATGAGCGATTTTAATTTGTCAAGTTTGAATTCCAATTGTGTTTGTTACGTTCACATGCGCAAATACCCTTACGAAAGGTATGAATTTGTTCATTCAACTCTACCTAATAACCGGTTAAAAAATAGGACAGACTGGGATGTTTAACCTTTGTCGGCAACCAGACTAAAAGAAGGACAATGAATTTAAAACTTGAGAAAGGTCTTTTGGGGACAGTATGTCTACTAGTCCATTGTTTTTGGTTCTTCCGAAAAATGTGTTTGGTTTTACACAATCTTTGACCACTATAATCAAATCATATGTGCAAGTAATCTGGCTATTCGGTTCTAAGAATTGAACTGCTAGACGGAAGAGTTTATCCTATATATACATATATATATATATATATATATATATATATATATATATATATATATATATATATAGGGTGCAATGGATAAATTGACGTCTAAATTACGCAAAAATATTAATCATCGCAATTTACCAAAATTACACAAAAATATCTTGAAATACTAAAGAATAAATTTATTCAATAATATCGCCATTGGCTTCAACCACGGCCTCCAGACGACTTTTGAATCTCCTGCAACACTTTTGGACGGTTTCCTTGTTTAATTTGGTGAATGCTACCATAATCCTTATCTTCACTTCATCTTTGATGTTACAAGGAGCTTTGTTGGTCACTTTCTCAACTGCAAACCACACATATTAATTAACGGGGTTGCAGTCTAGGGAGTTAGGCGGCCAGATGTACCGGGTGATGTGGTCGCAGAAATTGTTTGACATCCATAACTGGGTTCGCCTGTTTGTGTGGCATAGTGCCAGACATAGGGTCTCCCAGCAGTCACCCTCATGACCCAGGAGACCACTACCTCCTCAAGTCTTCCGTGTTGAGTAATCACATTAGACTCATCCAACTCGTTCCGAATCCTCTCCACTATCCTCGAACACTTTGAAATGTTCGTATTGGAGTTTCCGACATGAATACCAAGCAGAACAACCTTCTGTTTCAAAAGTTTTTGACAGATTGAATTGCGTTATGGTGATCTTTTTCTCACAGACGGTGCCCAACTGACCCTACTATACTGTGCAGTCGCCCAAATTAAAAATATGAAATGATGACAAATTACCCATCGCACTATATATATATATATATATATATATATATATATATATATATTTTATATTTTATATATATATATATATATATATATTTTATATTTTTTATATATATATATATATATATATATATATATATATATATATATATATGTATATGATATTTTTCCGGCACATGGTATTAGATTAGAAATTGAAAATGCGTGTACAGTAATACCACTTGACACTTTGGCCAACTTTGCAGTTCGCCGTACTAATAAATGTCTGGAAGCTAAAGGCCACGATTTTGACCATCTCTTATGATTATAGAGTCCAAAAGTAACTTGTATTCATCTCTGAATATCTGGATTAATGTCTGAATAAAATTTCGTATTATACTATCAATACAAGTTTTTCCTTTCCTGAAGTGTGTATACATTTTGTGGGTCGGGATATATATATATATATATATATATATATATATATATATATATATATATATAAGAAAGAACAGTAAGATATATAATCCGGTGTTCTTATAGATATTTTCATTTTTACAAAATAGTGCTCAATGTAAATTTACAGAGCATTAATATTATAAATTAATTGATTTAAAATATGTTTTTTCCGCTACACAGTTCTAACCATGTTTCAAAAATAGAAGGTAGAAGCACCGAATTTAATTTTGCAATTAAATTAAAAGCATTAGTTCCATTTCATCCTCAAGTGAATTTTGGAGTAACTTTTAAAAAATTACTGGGTTTTAAAGACACAGCTAAAATCACGTTTCCATGGTTACAGAATATTCTACTTCAATTGGACAAGGGATGTCTAGGTTTTCCTTATGACAGTATCATTGTATCAGTTATTAGCTACAATTCATTGAAAAATACATCCCTACCCCTTACCAAATTGTACAATGATACATATATATATATATATATATATATATATATATATATATATATATATATATATATTATATTATAGCAGGGAATTTTCTTATTTTAACATGGACGGTAGTATCCATCTTACTCATCTCCAAGTAAGTTTATTTGAATGCTTTCAAATTTTTTTACTACCTCGAGTGTAAAATTATCCATTATCCAGCGGCCCACAAAAATCGATTCTTTTATTTCAAGCTGCCAAATGCAAAATCTGCGACCGACCTCGCATAAGACCTGACTCGATCAGAAATTTAAAGTTTATGATAATGGTAGCCGTTTCCCTGTGAGGAAACATTTGTCATTCATTGACCGAACATCCAGTACTGATGTCGTTGGAAATTTATGAAATGTTTCACTTAAAACAATTTTTCAGGAAAAAAGATTTTTCAAATCCAGTCGATGTTATCACTTGTGGGACATGTTTAATAAAAAGAAAAAAAAAAAACACCCCCGTACACATAGTTACTTTAAACAAACCAAAATATATTTAAAATCAAATTAAGTAACCAAAAATAATAATGATTAGAATGCAGGTATAAAAAATAGTTTTTTCGAGGCCTAGAAAAAAAACTATACATTCAGGGATAAAAGGGTCAAAGTACGCTGAAAACAGAATATTTTCTAACAAAAAATGTGAAGCCACGTTCTTCACTTCAAATTATTCGCGATCGTGTGTGCGCACGCATGTATAGATTTTCATGTGTGTGGGTGTTTGTGTTTAGTAAATTGTGTATTGTAGAACATAGTTGTGTGAATGTAGGTAACTGAATACAAACGAAAATCTGTTTGATACCTTTTTTGTGCGCATGCGTGAAGCACTGTGTTTGTGTATTTTTAAGGCCAGATAAAAAAATCAAAGAATCTGCGTCATATTTTAAGAGTACGGGTTAATTTTCTGTGAACATGCATTATTCATGCTTTTCTGTACATTGTTCAATCGCCAACAATTGGAATAGTGAAAGCTGCCTTCCAAAAGCTAAGAAAAATATTACAAAACAGGAAAATCTCTTTAGAAATAAAAAAAGTGTGTTGAACTGTTATGTAATATCAAACCTCCTCTATGGCAGTGAATGCTGAACAATCTCCTCAGGCATGAAGAGGAGATGAGACAAGTCATGTGATTTTACAGCAAGATTCCAAGAATACCCTGGATTGAACATGCAGCGACGAAGTTTTAGTGACAATAAAATAAAAAGTACACTATATTTAGAATCAGAAATAGACATTTGAAATTTCTAGGACACATAATAAGGAAAGAGGGCTTGGCGAATTTGACACTCACAGAGCATATTGAGAAGAAGAGCGACATAAGAAATCAACGAGTAACCTACCTAAAGAGCTTGGATGGCAGAACAGGGAATGGGAAAGGTAGTGTAAAGATACATCTTACAAATGATAAGAAGTTGTGGAGAGTCATAATTGCCCATGTCCTAAAGGGGCACGTCACATGGAAGAAGAACTCAATGAAGTTCGAACTAATTGTGTAGGGCACGCAGTGAGAATCGAATTCGCTAAACATTCCCTTATGGCGAGATGCCCAAAGCATCTCGGCATATATAGCCTTGCATATTTGACAAAAAGTATGTAGCTTCTCCCTGGAGAAAAGCCACTGGCGTCATATCTACAAATTTGATGCGGCGCCAAGCAACAAAAAAAAAAGAGAAGAAAAAAAAAGACTTTAAGGAAATGCACATTGTGATTGTACACTTCGAAATCGGCCCTGACGCTAAAGCTACGCCCATTACATTTCATTAATAACTTGGACTGTTGCCCAATTTGGGCTTTTACCAATGCCTCGTCATCTCATTATCGCTGTGCACAAGTTTTTGAAACTGCGACAATAATCTATGGAGAATTTAATCAAAACACGGGCCGCGCTGATAAAAGCCAATTGGCCATAAGCAACCTGAGTTACACTTATTAAAGCAGGACATTTTCCTGTGTTCTTTGGCTGTACTGTCCAAGGTTTGTCGCAGTTGCTATCATTTTGCCATCGTTTGTCACCCTAACTTTCAAGTTAATTGAAAGAGTTCCACCCACTTTGGCAGCCGTCTGATCTTCACTAGACATTCTCCTTTTCTTCTTCTTCTTCTTCTTCTTCTTCTTCTCGACAGAGTGACGAAGAGTGAGCCATGAATACAAGTTGAATTTTTGCATGCAATTTAGTAATTTTGCTATATATAGGCCTCTACTGATATATTTTTAATCATTTCACATGGTTATAAAGCCACTAAGACGCAATGGGGGTTATAAGTGTTAGAGAACATGAGAAAAACTACTATTAAGTGAGGATAACAAAAGAACAAGAATTGAGAAGACAGAAGATAACGATTGACGTTGCATTTAAATTTTTGAAGATCAAAGTTGATTGAGAAGCAAAAGTTCCACAAGTATTGTTTTTATAAAAACAAATTGAGATTAATTAAATCATTCGAGAAATTTGCTTTTTTTAATATTGAAAACAATTTACACAAAATGTTTTCTTGGCCTTGTCAAATGAGAGTCCAATATTATTTTTTACTATGAACTATTTACATTTTTTAAGAAAATTATTTAATCTTTCCCTGATGGAATTTTGACCGCTTGAAATATTGAAAGAAGAAAAAAACACTTGTCACAACTCATCACTTGTGAAATTTGCACCCTCACAAAAACAGGATGTGAATCTCCATGTTTTTGCAAAGTTATTCTTCCGTACATTTGATGAATTTTAAATGTAGAAAACAAAACATCATCGTAAATGCCCTTTGATTTACTCTCTTCTTAGGCGAGTAGACGATAATGAACCTCAGTAGAGTTAAACAACGTCAAGCTTGGTCAGTACCTAGATGGGTGACCACTTAGGAATACCAGGTGCAGTAGGTCACAATCGCATATAATAATACATATATATATATATATATATATATATATATATATATATATATATATATATAGATAGATAGATAGATAGATAGATAATATTAGTGGTAAATATACACATACATATGCAAAATATATAAATATATATACATACATGCATACACATACATATATATATTTTTTTAAATTCCAAGAGGATAGAATCCAGGTAGAACAGACGAGAGAAGGTGGGAGATTAAAAGATGTCTAATATGGTTACATCTTTAATGTATTAGACACGCGACAACATTCATATTTCTCTCACTTTAACCGTCTTTAACTCACCTCTCTAAAACTTCTCTCTGTTAAGTTTTAATCTCCCACCTTCTCTCGTCTGTTACCCCTCTCTTTAGCTCTAACATTCGTCCCACACTCTCATACTTACACTGTCTCTAAATTCTATTTTTTATTTCCGGAGTTGTTTTTTCTGTTTTCTTTTTGAATTTGTAGGTCTGATGAATTGGATCGTATTTACGATTCCAATGGAATAAATTATGACCATGGAATATTAGTGTTTAAGTTTTTTTTATTATATAAATATATATATATATATATATATATATATATATATATATATATATATATATATATATAGAATGATTGAAAAGTAACTCCCTATTTTACGTATGATGGACTCTTCCATTATGTAAAAATTATAGTTTGACGGAAGAGTCCGTCATACCTAAAATAGGGAGTTACTTTTCAATCACCATGAATATATATACTTATTACATATGATAAGTATATTAACTATAAAACTTTCAATTTATCCTTTATACAAATCTGCTACTTGTTCCGTTAAACTTTGATTCGTACTTATATTGAACATAAACTATTAGATAATGGTGTTTCTTTCAAAAGGATATTCCGAATTCATGCTCATAATACTGATAATAATGTTAACTACCTTCCAAAATGGTTCAGGTTTACAGTCATATCCCGTTGGAACACCGCTTTTCGTACGATCACCGAAGTTAAGCAACGTCGAGACTGTTGAGTATGTAGATGTGTGACCACTTGGGAATACCAGGTTCTGTAAGTTTGAATGTGAAGATGGTGTAATGAGTAAAAATCAGAATTGGAAATCGGAAAGCCGAGTTCCAATTCTAGTCGGAGTCTTTGTATTCATTTACAGAAAAGTTATCAATCTATTCCTTCTCCCGTAAGCTATGGGTTTATTAATAGTTCTTGTAAAGCATACATCTCCAAAAAATCCTTACAATCTAAATATATTTTCTGGCTTTAAATAACTTGAAAAGGCTGATAAGCCGTAAAAAAAAAACAAATCAATCTTCATAGGAGAGTGATAAAACTAGGGATTCTAATGCTTATTTTATAGGCAGATAGGTTCTTCCCACTTTTCTTACTGTTGGGGCGCACCCACCTTCTAACTAGTAATGGACTGGTCCCTCTTATATAAGTCAGCTCTGGAGAGAGAGTGAGGGAGCGTCAGAGAGAGAGTCAGCGTGAGCAGTCCAGATAAGCTTCCCCGGTACATACCGTTGGACTATAGACTTTGGATATTGTTTCGTACTAACCAACCTTCGTTCTACTAATCACTCTATTGTTAATTGCTTTTATGAATATATCAGTATTTTCCTCTACAACTGTGTTTGTCTTGATTCATACACCGACACGCGGGAAACTCACAACATCTCAACACTTACTCACCTCGTCACTTGGCCAAATAAGGATAAGTGATATGATAATACTGAGAATAGTTTCTCTCGCCATTTACCAAACATGCAAATGCATAAGCAGACGATTTGGACATGATTTAAATTTTAAGAACAAAATTGATTTCAGCTTACTTGTTGATTCTTGTTTGATAATGTTTTACCTTTAAATCTTGTCGCTTCTAGTTCAGTGCCTTGCTATCATTAGTATCATTCTCCAGTTATCTATATATAAAATTCTGAGACTTCCGTTAGTCCGTCCGTTCGTCACACTCTCTAAAATAGCCATACATTTTGGGAAGTGCAAACAGGTAAGGTGTAAAAAGAACAGTTGGTTTTACTAGGGTATGTACCTTACTACAATAAATTTTTATTAATCTTTTTAGAAAAATTAAAAGCTTCATTATTCAACATACAAATACTCTCACTATTTTAAAACCAATTGAATGATTAAAATAACAAATACTTATTTAATAAAAATTCAATATTATTTTTCATATTTTTTCTTTAAGTTTTTATATATGCATGAATCCAGTTTCCAGACCACACTACGTTTGCGAGAACTATGAATAAATCACAAGGCCAAACGCTTCAAAACGTTAGAATTTGTCCCCTTGAAGAAATATTTACGCATGACCAGTTATATGTTGCATGCTCAAGAGTAAGAAATCATAAGAATTTATTCTTCACTGTTAAAAAGGAAAAAATAATTTTTCTTAAAAAATATTGTTTACCACGAAGTCCTATATAATTAGATTAAATTAAAAAAATTATTAAACCGAGAAGTAGGGGTTTTGTCAATGTAATTTTCTAAACTAATTTGCTTATTCAAATTTCATATATTGATATACATAATTGAACAACACGTAGAGTTTTTAAATATCGACAAAAATGTTAGCGTTAACTTCAACAATACTAGATACTGTGTGAATTAAAACACGCGTTAGCGTGTTGTCAAAAAATAATTCTAGTCATTACAATCACTGACTGGAACTTTTTTCGATGCTAAATAGTTTGGACGTCGTTCTGGAAAATGTCTTTCCATCCCTCCATACCTCCTCCTCTCCCTCTCTCTCTCTCTCTCTCTCGTTCATTTGTTGAGAGAGATGGAATGAAACAGAAATTGAAAAACTACTGTAGAATGATGCCCTATCTAAATATCAGTGAAATTTTCACAAATGTAATACCGCTAATATTTAAAGGAATGTAACAACAATAGGAAGATTGTCTTGCGCTAATTACTTCCAGTAACGAATATCTACTTTACTTTAAAATCAACATCCGAAATGCTGAGACTTGAACACCGACCACAGGTGCCGGTGTCAATCACGCAATTATGTCAGACATTAAGCAAATCCTAAAGATAAAATTTGACAGAGATATTTTCTCTGACGGGAAGTTGCGTTTTTCTCGAACCATTACAAAAAATTACTCGATGCAAATAACTAAGCAAATGCAGTTATCTCATGTAGGTTATCATGCTTTAAGCGATAGGAAGTAACCGTATTATAACAATCTCATATATGGATAGTTACTTTGCATAGATCTACTTAAAAATCTGTAACTATGTTACACTCAAAGGATACATCTAAATTAGTGAAATATGGCTTGCTAACGATCGCTGTAAATAGGTATCTGTAAAGCCCACATATATTTGTAAAACAAAGTAAAAACATTCTACGATGTCATATCATGTAGGAGTCTCAGTGTCATTCGACTGTGCATCAAAGATCAATCCTTAGGCAATAACTTTCAATTTCAACTTATGTAGAGGGCCATGAAAATCCCTAATGTTTCCAATTAATAGCGATGAACCACAGGTATATTTTTGGAAGTTTTCACATTAAAACGTTACGTGTCATATGTATCTTACCTGAGACTGAGGAAAGAATTTTTTAAAGTTTTAGGTTGCATATTATTGTTAAACGTTTTAAGTTGTCTGAATTTCGTCAGTGAAGCATTGTTATTATTCCTTTTTTTACCATTCTTTCTTTTATTATACTTTTGTTGTTTTAATCAGGTCATTCTTGTAATCTGTGCCAGTTAAGCAAGAAACATGAATCAAAATTAAAGAATTATGGAACCTCGTATTTCGTATCCTTCGGCGCCTATCTAGCAGGAGCAGTGCTTACTCATAAGGCTACGGCGCCGCCTATCGAGCAGGAGCAGTGCTTACTCAAGGAAGGTCACGGCGCCGCCTATCGAGCAGGACCGGTGCTTACTCATAAGGCTACGGCGCCGCCTATCGAGCAGGAGCAGTGCTTACCATAAGGCTAAGCAGGTGCCTCACGAGCATTTACGGCGCCGCCTATCGAGCAGGAGCAGTGCTTACCTCACGGCGCCGCCTATGGAGCAGTGAGCAGTGCTTACTCATAAGGCCACGGCGCCGCCTATCGAGCAGGAGAGCTTACCATAAGGCTACGGCGCCGCCTATCGAGCAGGAGCAGGCCACGGCGCCGCCTCATAACCGGGTCACGGCGCCGCCTTATCGAGCAGGAGCGGTGCTTACTCATAAGGTCACGGCGCCGCCTATCGAGCAGGAGCGGTGCTTACCATTACGGCGCCGCCTATCGAGCAGGAGCGGTGCCACTTAAGGCATGGCGCTTATCGAGCAAGACCGGTGCTTACGGCGCCGCCTTATCGAGCAGGAGCGGTGCTTACTTATAAGGCCACGGCGCCGCCTATCGAGCAGGAGCGGTGCCGTTATCGAGCAGGAGCGTCACGGCGCCGCCTATCGAGCAGAAGGCGGCGGCGCCGCCTATCGAGCAGGAGCGGTGCTTACTCATAAGGTCACGGCGCCGCCTATCGAGCAGGAGCGGTGCTTACTTATAAGGCCACGGCGCGCCTATCGAGCAGGAGCGGTGCTTACCATAGGCTACGGCGCCGCCTCATCGAGCAGGAGCGGTGCTTACTATAAGGTCACGGCGCCGCCTATCGAGCAGGAGTGGTGCTTACTCATAAGGCTACGGCGCTGCCTATCGAGCAGGAGCGGTGCTTACCATAAGGTCATGGCGCCGCCTTATCGAGCAGAAGCGGTGCTTACTCATAAGGTCACGGCGCCGCCTTATCGAGCAGGAGAGCAAGCTACTCATAAGGCTACGGCGCCGCCTATCGAGCAGGAGCGGTGCTTACCATTTATAATGCCACGGCGCCGCCTATCGAGCAGGAGCAGTGCTTACCATAAGGTCACGGCGCCGCCTATCGAGCAGGAGCGGGTGCTTACTCATAAGGCACACGGCGCCGCCTATCGAGCAGGAGCGGTGCTTATCATAAGGCCACGCGCCGCCTATCGAGCAGGAGCGGTGCCATCATAAGGCCACGGCGCCGCCTATCGAGCAGAGCGGTGCTTACCATAAGGTCACGGCGCCGCTAGCAGGAGCGCCGCCTATCGAGCAGGAGCTGTGCGCATTAAGGTCACGGCGCCGCCTATCGAGCAGGAGAGCAGTGCTTACTCATAAGGCCACGGCGCCGCCTATCGAGCAGGAGCAGTGCCACTCATAAGGCCACGGCGCCGCTTCATCGAGCAGGAGCGGTGCGACTCAGGCGTCACGGTGCCTATCGAGCAGGAGCAGTGCTTACCATAAGGGCTACGGCGCCGCCTATATCGAGCGGGGCGGTGCTTACTCGACAGGCTGCGGCGCCGCCTATCGAGCAGGAGCGGTGTTTACTCATAGGTCACGGCGCCGCCTATCGAGCAGGAGCAGTGCTTACTTTATAAGGTCACGGCGCCGCCTATCGAGGCAGGAGCGGTGCTTACCGAGTAAGGCCACGGCGCCGCCTATCGAGCAGGAGCGGTGTTACTATAAGCAATATGGCGCTGCCTATCGAGCAGGAGCAGGCGTTGATTTCATATACAGTCATGGCGCCGCCTATCGAGCAGGAGCGGTGCTTACCATAAGGCGTCGCTGGCGCCGCCTATCGAGCAGGACCGGTGCTTACTCAGTATAATACGGCGCCTATCTATCGAGCGGTGCTTACATTTATATATTGCTATGGCACCGCCTATCGAGTAGGAGCGGTGCTTACCATTTATATACGGCGCTGCCTATCGAGCAAGACCGGTGCTTACCATAAGGCTTATGGCGCCGCCTTATCGAGCAGGAGCGGTGCTTCATATATTACGGCGCACGCTTCATCGAGCAGGAGCGGTGCTTACCATAAGGTTACGGCGCTGCCTATCGAGCAGGAGCGGTGCATTTAAGGCTACGGCGCCGCCTATCGAGCAGGAGCGGTGCTTTACTCATAAGGTCACGGCGCCGCCTATCGAGCAGGAGCAGAAGCACTATAAGGCTACGGCGCCGCCTATCGAGCAGGAGCGGTGCATTACCATAAGGCCATGGCGCCGCCTATCGAGCAGGGAGCGGTGCTTCGAGCAGGATATTACGGCGCCGCCTATCGAGCAGGGCGGTGTTACTCATAAGGCTACGGCGCCGCCTATCGAGCAGGAGCGGTGCTTACTCATAAGGCCACGGCGCCGCCTATCGAGCAGGGGCGGTGCTACTCATAAGGCTACGGCGCCGCCTATCGAGCAGGAGCGGTGCTTACTCATAAGGTCACGGCGCCGCCTATCGAGCAGGAGCAGTGCTTACTCATAAGGCTACGGCGCCGCCTATCGAGCAGGAGTTGCTAATCATAAGGGCGGCGCCGCCTATCGAGCAGGAGCGGTGCCACTCATAAGGCTACGGCGCCGCCTATCGAGCAGGAGCGGTGCTTACTCATAAGGCTACGGCGCCGCCTATCGAGCAGGGGCGGTGCTTACTCATAAGGCTACGGCGCCGCCTATCGAGCAGGAGCGGTGCTTACTCATAAGGCTACGGCGCCGCCTATCGAGCAGGAGCAGTGCTTACTCATAAGGCTACGGCGCCGCCTATCGAGCAGGAGCGGTGCTTTACTCATAAGGTCACGGCGCCGCCTATCGAGCAGGAGCGGTGCCACCATAAGGCTACGGCGCCGCCTATCGAGCAGGAGCGGTGCTCATACTACGGCGCTGCCTATCGAGCAGGTCATTTGGCTACGGCGCCTATCGAGCAGGAGCGGTGCTTACCATAAGGTCACGGCGCCGCCTATCGAGCAGGAGCAGTGCTTACTTCATAAGCGTCATGGCGCCGCCTATCGAGCAGGAGCAGTGCTTACCATAGGTTACGGCGCCGCCTATAGAGCAAGACCGGTGCTTTACCATAAGGCTACGGCGCCGCCTATCGAGCAGGATCGGTGCTTACCATAAGGTCATGCGCCGCCCTATCGAGCAGGAGCGGTGCTTATCATAAGGCCACGGCGCCGCCTATCGAGCAGGAGCGGTGCTTACCATAAGGCTACGGCGCGCCTATCGAGCAGGAGCAGTACTCATAAGGCTACGGCGCTGCCTATCGAGCAGGAGCAGGCTATCTATATAAGTTACGTCGCCGCCTATCGAGCAAGACCGGTGCTTATCGAGCAGAGCGGGCCACCATCACGGCGCCGCCTATCGAGCAGGAGCGGTGCTTACTCATAAGGCCACGGCGCCGCCTATCGAGCAGGAGCGGTGCTTACCATAGGTCACGGCGCCGCCTATCGAGCAGGACCGGTGCTTACTCATAAGGTCACGGCGCCGCCTATCGAGCAGGAGCGGTGCCTCCATAAGGCTACGGCGCCGCCTATCGAGCAGGAGCAGTGCTTACTCATAAGGCTACGGCGCCGCCTATCGAGCAGGAGCGGTGCTTACTCATAGCGGGCTACGGCGCCGCCTATCGAGCAGGAGCGGTGCTTACTCATAAGGCTACGGCGCCGCCTATCGAGCAGGGAGCGGGTGCTTACTCATAAGGCTACGGCGCCGCCTATCGAGCAGGAGCGGTGCTTACTCATAAGGCTACGGCGCCGCCTATCGAGCAGGAGCAGTGCTCGCATAAGGCTACGGCGCCGCCTATCGAGCAGGAGCAGTGCCCCTCGCCAGGCTACGGCGCCGCCTATCGAGCAAGAGTGCTTACACGCAAGGCTACGGCGCCGCCTATCGAGCAGGGGCGGTGCTTACTCATAAAACTACGGCGCCGCCTATCGAGCAGGAGCGGTGCTTACTCATAAGGCTACGGCGCCGCCTATCGAGCAGGAGCGGTGCCTCATAAAGGCTTACGGCGCCGCCTATCGAGCATAAGGCTGGGCATACTATCGGCAAGGCGGTGCAGCACTAAGGCCACTACGGCGCCGCTGTCGAGCAGGAGCGGTGTTTACTCATGAACTACGGCGCCGCCTATCGAGCAGGGCAGTGCTTACTCAGGCGGGTCTACGGCGCCGCCTATCGGCAGGAGCGGTGCTTACTCATAAGGCTACGGCGCCGCCTATCGAGCAGGAGCGGTGCCTCATAAGGCACGGCGCCGCCTATCGAGCAGGAGCGGTGCTTACTCATAAAGGCCATGGCGCCGCCTATCGAGCAGGAGCAGTGCTTACTCATATTACATGGCGCCGCCTATCGAGCAGGAGCAGTGCTTACTCATAAGGCTACGGCGCCGCCTATCGAGCAGGAGCGGTGCTTACTCATAAGGTCACGGCGCCGCCTATCGAGCAGGAGCGGTGCTACTATAAGGCCGCTGGCGCCGCCTCATCGAGCAGGAGCGGTGCTTACTCATAAGGGGTACGGCGGCGCTCTAGTCGAGCAGGAGCGGTGCTTTCATAAGGCTACGGCGCTGGCCTATCGGAGCAGGGGCAGTGCTTACTCATAAGGGTTACGGCGCCTATCTATCGAGCTGGAGTCATGTCGCTGCCCATTTTGCGCTTACTCATAAGGCCGCTTGGCGCCGCCTATCGAGCAGGAGCGGTGCTTATCATAAGGCTGATGGCGCCGCCTATCGAGCAGGAGCGGTGCTTTTACCATAAGGCTGCCGGCGCCCGCTTATCGAGCAGGAGCGGTGCTTTACTAAGGTCACGGCGCCGCCTATCGAGCAGGGGCGGTGCTTAGGCGCCGCCTATTACTTCATAAGGCCACGGCGCCGCCTATCGAGCAGGACAGTGCTTTACCATAAGGCCATGGCGCCGCCTATCGAGCAGGAGCAGTACAAGGCACTCTATAGGAGCGGTGCTTTCAAGGCTACGGCGCCAGAGCGAAGCATATAAGGCTGGTTGCCGAGCGGAGCAGTGCTATCATAAGGCTACGGCGCCGCCTATCGAGCAGGAGCGGTGCTTACTCTATAAGGCTACGGGCGCCGCCTATCGAGCAGGAGCGGTGCTTAATCATAAGGGGCTACGGCGCCGCCTTATCGAGCAGGAGCGGTGCTTACCATAAGGTCGGCGCCGCTTCTTATCGAGCAGGAGCAGTGCTTACCATAAGGCTACGGCGCCGCTCTATCGAGCAGGAGCGGTGCTTTACCATAAGGGGCTACGGCGCCGCCTATCGAGCAGGAGCGAAGCATCATAAGGGTTACGGCGCTGCCTATCGAGCAGCAAGAGTGGTGCTTTACTATAAGGCTACGGCGCCGCTTATCGAGCAGGGAGCGGTGCTTACCATAAGGCCATGGCGCCGCCTATCGAGCAGGAGCGGTGCTTACTCGAGCAAGGCGGCTGGCGCTGCCTATCGAGCAGGAGCGGTGCTTACTCATAAGGCTGCTGGCGCCTATCGAGCAGGAGCGGTGCTTACCATAAGGCTTCAGCGGCGCCGCTTATCGAGCAGGAGCGGTGCTTACCATAAGGCCACGGCGCTGCCCATCGAGCAGGAGCAGTGCGGCCTTCATAAGGGGTCACGGCGCCGCCTATCGAGCAGGAGCGGTGTACCATATGTTACGGCGCGCGCCTATAGAGCAGGAGCGGTGTTTACCCTTACGGCGCTTATCGAGCAGGAGCGGTGTTTACCATAAGGTCGGGCGGCGCCGCCTATCGAGCAGGACGGTGCTTTACTCATAAGGTCACGGCGCCGCCTATCGAGCAGGAGCGGTGCTTAAGGCTATACTTATCGAGCAGGATGGCGCCGCCTATCGAGCAGGAGCAGTGCTTACCATAAGCACATGGTGCCGCCTATCGAGCAGGAGCAGTGCTTACTCATAAGGCTACGGCGCCGCCTATCGAGCAGGAGCGGTGCTTTACCATAAGGCTACGGCGCCGCCTATCGAGCAAGAGCGGTGCTTACTATAAGGTCACGGCGCCGCTTATCGAGCAGGAGCGGTTAAGGTCATGCCTATCGAAGGAGGCTACGGGCGCCGCCTATCGAGCAGGAGCGGTGCTTTACTCATAAGGCTCACGGCGCCGCCTATCGAGCAGGGGCGGTGCTTTACTCATAAGGCTACGGTGCCGCCTATCGAGCAGAGCGGTGCTTACCATAGGCTGCCGGCGCCGCCTATCGAGCAGGAGCAGTGCTTACTCATAAGGTCACGGCGCCGCCTATCGAGCAGGAGCGGTGCTTACCATAAGGCTACGGCGCCGCCTATCGAGCAGGAGCGGTGCTTACCATAAGGTCACGGCGCCGCCTATCGAGCAGGAGCGGCGCTTACTCATAAGGCATGGCGCCGCCTATCGAGCAGGAGCAGTGCTTACCATAAGGTCACGGCGCCGCCTTATCGAGCAGGAGCAGTGCTTACCATAAGGTCACGGGCGCCTATCGCAGGAGCGGTGCTTACCATAAGGTCACGGCGCCGCCTATCGAGCAGGAGCGGTGCTTACCATAAGGCTCACGGCGCCGCCTATCGAGCAGGAGCAGTGCTTATGCCACTATAAGGCTTACGGCGCCGCCTTATCGAGCAGGAGCGGTGCTTACCATAAGCTGTACGGCGCCGCCTATCGAGCAGGGAGTGGTGCTTACCATAAGGTCACGGCGCCGCCTATCGAGCAGGAGCGGTGCGTTTACCATAAGCTACGGCGCCGCCTATCGAGCAGGAGTGGTGCTTTACCAGGCGGCACGGCGCCGCCTATCGAGCGAAAGCATAGTACATGGCGCCGCCTATCGAGCAGGAGCAGTGCTTTACTCATAAGGCTACGGCGCCGCCTATCGAGCAGGAGCGGTGGTTACTTCATAAGGCCATGGCGCCGCCTATCGAGCAGGAGCGGTGCTTACTCATAAGGCTGGCGCCGCCTATCGAGCAGGAGCGGTGCTTACTATAAGCATACGGCGACGCTATATCGAGCAGGAGCGGTGCCACTATAAGGCGTCACGGTGCCGCCTTATCGAGCAGGAGCGGTGCCTCTATAAGGTCACGGCGCCGCCTTATCGAGCAGGAGCAGTTTACCATAAGGTCACGGCGCCGCCTATCGAGCAGGAGCGGGCTTACCATAAGGCCACGGCGCCGCCTATCGAGCAGGAGCGGTGCTTCTCATAAGGCTACGGCGCCGCCTATCGAGCAGGAGAGTGCCGGCGCCTCTATCGAAGGCTACGGCGCCGCCTATCGAGCAGGAGCGGTGCTTAATCGCAGGCTACGGCGCCGCCTATCAGGAGCAGCAGGTCACGGCGCCGCCCATCGAGCAGGAGCGGTGCTTACCATAAGGCTACGGCGCCGCCTATCGAGCAGGAGCAGGTCACGGCAGTGCTTACTCATAAAACTGCGGCGCCGCCTATCGAGCAGGAGCAGGCCATCATGCTACGGCGCCGCCTATCGAGCAGGAGCAGGCGCATCGCGAAGGCCGATGGCGTCAGCCTATCGAGCAGGAGCGGTGCTTACCATAAGGCCACGGCGCCGCCTATCGAGCAGTGAGCGGTGCTTTTACCAGGCATTACGGCGCGCCTATCGAGCAGGAGCGGTGCTTACTCATAAGGTCACGGCGCTGCCTATCGAGCAGGAGTGCTTACATCATATGGCCATGGCGCCGCCTATCGAGCAGGAGCAGTGCTTACCATAAGGGGCTACGGCGCCGCCTATCGAGCAGGAGCGGTGCTTACCATAAGGCTACGGCGCTGCCCATCGAGCAGAAGCAGTGCTTACCATAAGGTCACGGCGCCGCCTATCGGCAGGAGCGGTGCTTACCATAAGGCCACGGCGCCGCCTATCGAGCAGGAGCAGTGCTTACCAGGCACTACGGCGCCGCCCATTGAGCAGGGAGCAGTGCTTACTCATAAGGTCACGGCGCCGCCTATCGAGCAGGAGCGGTGCTTACCATAAGGTCACGGCGCCGCCCATCGAGCAGGGCGGGGCTTACCCAAAGGTACGGGGCCGCCTTCCGGCAAAAGGGCCGGTGGGGCCCCCTATGGGGCTACCCCGGGCCCCCGCCCCTATCAGGGAGGAAATTTTC